CAAGCCCCAGGTGCACCTTACAAAGTCATCTTTCCCAAGCCCCATCCTCACAAAAAGCGTGGACATCACCTGTTCCAGCGTTTTGCATCCCCCAATTCCCTGAAACAGTGCCATGTGCCAGGCTCAGGTTAGGTTAACACCCTGATTTTCCAGCTGCTGGAGCTCCAGGAACATCATTCTGATGGTCAAAGCAAGCTGCTCAGCCCATGCCATGTTTGTCTGCAAGGAAATGGGATGTTTATGTTTATCCCAATCGATCCTGATGGATGACACTTTTGTTCCATTTAGCAGCTGCTTGACCAATTTAATACCACAAAAGGAGATTAAGATCCAAAGTATGTACGGCTGTGTTATGAGTAACAGACGCTTAATAGCAATAACACTGAATAACAATTGCAAGTTTGGCTTTTAGCTATTATTATTGCCTAAGGCTGGTTTGTTTTCCATCTAAATAAATACATATCTGTATATTAAATGAATATACCTAAGGGCAAAGTTATGCATTTCCAGATAAACCCTCCAACTGTTCTAGATTTCTCAACCAAATCATTCTGGAAAATAATGCCTAGGAAGAAGTGCAATATGTCTTGTGAATCCATAGGTAGAGCCAAGCTCAAGAATTCTCCCATGGAGCCATGCAGAAGGGCTGCAGCCAAATTGACCACCCAGGGATCCATCAGTCACAAACTGGCTCACAGGAAAGCTAAGCACACTTTTCTAGAAGGAATGCCACTCTGTCCTGCCAGCCTGCCTTGGGTACACGGAATTAGCTCATGGGATGCTGGCAAGAACAGTGCTCCAAGAAAGAGCAAATCCTTCACCAACAGCACCAACAACCCTTCTCCCTGTTGGAACTGCTGAATGGATAACACATAATTCCTGCCCCTGCTCACCTCCAGCGCCTGAGCCAGGGTCTACCTTGGGAAAGGGACCAGGGCCAAGGCTTATCTCATCCAGCACCGTGTGGCTGGGTTGGAGACCTGCAGCCCAAAATTGTCTATTTATTTATGCCTGCAAATCCATTCTGTGCACGGGATTCCTGTGACTACCCAGGACAGGCATGTGTGTGGGAAGAGCCTCGTCCAGCCACGCAGTTACTGACCATTAGGGCCAGAGGGGAGACAGTTTTCAGACAGAAATCTCCTTGATTTCTGCATAAAAATAAATTACTGCTGACAAGACAGCTAGCATAGTCAGGGCCCTTTCATTACTGACTACACAATGAAGAAGTCCAGCCTGGCCTTGGACACTTCCAGGGATGGGGCAGCCACAGCTTCTCTGGGCAGCCTGTGCCAGGGCCTGCCCACCCTCACAAGGAGACAATAAAAACTTGTCTATTGCAAGGATGCCTCAGGTCAGTGTGAGGTCTGTAGGAGTCCAGGGGGTCCTACCTGGAACACACCAGCAGGGCTCTGGAAGGAATAAGAGTGCAAAGCATTAGTGAGCATCAGGAGCTCAGTGGAAACAGGACTGCAACAAGGGCAGCGAGATGTGATGCTTTGAGAAGCATCAGGCATGAGGTCTGAGTCACTGCATGAGATAAACATCCCCATCTGATGTTGTTTCCTCCTCATATGCTACTGCACACAGCAAAAACATACTGAAAACAAACAGCAGTTTCTTCAGTGCAGTTAATTGCTTTGCTTGGGTCTATTTAATTCCCTGTTCAGTTTTAAGCATTGGACAAACAAACTCAAGACTTAATATTCTCCTTGTTTTAAACAGCAAATCTTATTCAAGAAGTGTTAGTACAACTTTCTCAGGCACAGGATGGGATTGTTGGGGTGTCCTGTGCAGGGCCAGGAGTTGGATTCAATGGTCCTTGTGGGTCCCTTCCACCTCGGGATATTCTGTGATTCCATGGTTCTTGTGTTACTCAAATGACATTTGTGTCACTGCTCAGAAGATGGAGAATCACAACATTTTTGGTAATTTAGTTCTCCCTCTCTGCACATAGCTCAGATGGAAAGACATGACTCTGAAGGTCACACACCACTTTCTCTTTCAACCTTTGTGGTTAGTGTTGGAAGTTGGTGGCCCTAAGAGTCATCAGCAACTTCCTGAAGCAGTCCTGGATGAGGGTGGGTTGTTGCTGGAGATTTAGAAAAGCATTAGAGAGAATCAAGGATTAAATGTGGAAATAGTCAGTTTAGACAATGGACAAGGTGGTTTTCAATTGTCTCCATGACAGACAAGCTGCAATGGAAGTGTCTGGCAGGGAAACTGCCTCTTGGAGAAACTAAGGTGTGTGACTGGGGAAAAAGAAAGGTTCCCTTTGTCTCAAGAGCAGAAAAGTCACCGAATGTGATGAAGGTTTAATCCCTGCAGATGGTCTTTAGCCACAGCATCTTTATTCACTCCTCACCAGCATCTGTCGAAGAGCTGTCATCACCGCTGATACCAAAAGCCAGGCAGGGAGTGATTTGTGCAAACCCTGCTCAAGATAACAAGCTGGTTAATGGTGATACTCCCTGTCAGCAGCCAGTTACACTCAGCCTGACAGTTCCCTTTCAGGCCTGGGGAGCTCTTATCCACTGTGACAGGGCCCCACGGGTGGAATGTGGGGAACAAAAGCCCTACACAAAGGGAGCACTTTGGGGCTGGAGCGTGTCTGGCTTCCCCAGGCTTCCAAGAGGCCACACAGTGATGGTGGATGACGAGGCTCTAATTAATATTTCATTCTCAGAGTGAGTTATCCCTTGGGGGAAGTTAAAGGTTTGCACATTTTGAGGCAAAGTACCGAGGCTGGTGATCTTGAATAAAGAAAGTGTGTTGAAAGGAGCTGCTGCAGTCTTTAACCCTGGGCAAGGGACATGTAAACCATACAGCATTAGTGCACAGTTTTAATTGTACAACTTGTTCTAGGTCCTATTTTAAGGTCTGCTCCCATAAATTCATATGTAAGTGCTTCTAGAAAACTCTTCCCTTTCTGTCTCCTCAGGATTCAGACATCTGATATTCCACATCGTGTGGAAGGTTTGTTCTCCAAACCAACCCACTAAATGTGTTTTATGGCAGCAAATGAAGTGGCTGTGGGCTGGAACTGCTGAGTTCAGCAAAAAAGGAGAAAAGAATGGCCAGTGGAGGAGAGTTTCTACTGCACAGCCACATGCTCCCCACAGACAGCAGGAGGGCAGGGTCACTGTGAAGGGACAGTGAGTTTTGAGAGACCACGAAGCAAAAGAGCTGTGGCCATAGCAGGGGTCTGGCCAACGGAGTGCACTGCCCAGCCAGTGGTGAGAAATGAGTGTGAACTCTTCTGCAGTCCAAAGATGAACCCAGGGTGCCCTGGTGACCTCAGGAAGAAAGCGGTTCCCTTGCGCTGTTAAACAGAGCTCATAAATGAAGAAGTAGGGAAAACACAAAGGCTTTCAAGATGCGTCACCTAATTGACTCCTAAGTGACAGCTAATTATTTGATTGAGTTGAAGGTGAGAGGAAGACACCTGGTCACACACAGTCTGCAAACACCTGCAGTGTGCGATGGGAAGAGCGAGCCAGGAGCAAGCTCAGTGAGCCAGAGAGTGAGCCAAGAGGCGGACAGCCCCCGGTGGGTCCGTGCCTCTCCCTGAGGAGGAGTGCACCGTGGAGATCAATGTTTAGCAAATACAGTGAGCTGGGGCACAGAGGTATGTGAAGTTTGACAGGACAATGACCTGAAAATAAGTCTTAAAGTGTGTCTTCCCTGCAGGCTGGAAACAGAAAAAAATTTAATTCGTTATAATTATTACTCTTTCAAGAGAAGAGGAGAAGCAGGCTTTCTCTTGTGATATGCAGAGAAGAACTTCCAAACAGTTTACACAAATGCTGTGAGTCCTGTGGGGCAGGCACTGAGGTCCGTGGCAGATGGAATGGAAAGAACAGGGCCTGCAGCGTGGGGTGGCATCGGGCCACCGCTGGAAGCACCGCAGAGCCCAGGCAGAGCCTGCCCCAGCCAGGGGAAAGATGAATGTGAGGACTGTGAGACTAAGGTGTGGTTGTGCCAAATGCCAGCGTTGGAGTGATTCTTGTCAGTGTAAAGACAGAAACAACAGAAACATGAATGCTGTGAGTAGTCGTTTACCAGGAGCAGCCAACAGCCTGTCCGCATGTGTGCACAGAAAACACCTCCCTGGCCGGGCCATCCTCAGTACATCGAGCAGCACGTTTATGAATTCACAGGGGCCAGTCACTGCAGAGGTAACAGCAAAGGTGAGCCCCGGGCTCCTGCCCAGGGAGGCTGGCACAGCGAGTGTCACCCCTTGTCCCTCCCTGGATGGGAGCGGCAGCTCTGCGCTGGTTTTCCAGCTCCTCCCGGCTGTTTCGTCCGGGCTGGGCGGCTCTGTGTGCCTGGGGGCTGGGGCAGGGCCGGCGGCGGGCGCTCCCTCTCCCCCGGCACAGCGCATCCTCAGCTGGGGTCCTTGCGGGTCCCTTCCAGCTCGGGGTATTTTGTGATGAGCCAGGACTGCTCGCGTGTCCCCGAGCCGCAGGAGGTGCTCGGGAGGTTCCTTTTCGACGGATCCCATTTTCCCGGCTGTTTCTGAACTGTGAACTCCCCCAGCTGGCGATAGCTCGATATCGCCAGCAGCCAGCGCAGCCCGCCCGAAATGTCCCTTCGAGGACGGACTGCGAGGATTCCCCCCGGAGCCGGGGATGAGCGCTCGGCCGGTCCGGAGCAGGGGCTGGGCAGGGGCTGCCCCTCGGGGCTGCTGCGGCCATCAGAGGGAACAGGTAACTGTGCAGGCTGCAGGTGGCCCGGGCCACTGCCAGCACAAGGTGTCCAAGAGCAGGGAGCAGACTGAGGGGTGGGAATGGCCTTGCATGGCCCAATTCACCGGGGCTTCTCGTGGTGCTGTAGCAAGTATGGGGGTGGGTGACAGATGGGGCAGTGGCAGCAGAGCCACCCCCTGTCTGTGCTAGCGCTGGGTCCCTGCTCGCTCCTTCACCCATCCTCAGGGACCCCTGGCTGCCTCCCCACTCCTCCTTCACCGACCCCACAAAAAGTCCAGGCCCAGGCAATTGTGTACAAAACCTGAAATAGTTTTACTTTGCTTTCTTTTTTTTTTTTTTCCTTTTTTTTCTTCTTTTTTTAAACTTTGCTCTAGGTTTACTTAAGATTTTGTGAAGTCGATACAAGAGCATTTGATATGAATCGGTAAATAAAACACCGTCATAGATAGATAGCCACGATAAACTTTGTTAGAAATGTACATGTTGCGAAAAAATAATAATACTAATAATAATAATAATAATCATAATCATAATAAAAAAAGCTGGCGCGACGCCCAGGCCGGCTTGGCCCTGTTGACCCTGGTGGTGGCCCTGGTGGTGGCCCCGGTGGCCCTGGCACACAGTGGCAGGTGGCTCTGGTTCCCCGCAGGCGCCGCGCCCCAGTAATGTGTGTATATAAACAAAGCCCATAAGAAATGTACAAATATAAAAAGCTACAAACATTAATAAATTACATCGTCACAAAACACGGAAACACTCCACAAGGTGCTAGTAAAATAACTGTCTCCCTCCTCGTACAAGAAGTTACGCAAAGAGCTGGTACCGGCGGGCAGCGCCCGGAGAGACCCTCCCCGTATAAAAACCCGGCGGTGGTTATTCCAAAAGCTATGTACAAGCTACATTCTAGGAAAAGGGGCCCGGCATGCGGCTGCGTGGGGCGGAGGCGGTGTCTGAGAAACGCGCCCGCCACCTCACCGCTCCACGCCTCGAGTCCTGCGGTCCCCTCCCGCCACGTGGCCTTGTGGCCCTTCCTGCTCCTGGCACTGCCACCACAGCAGCTGCGGCCACCCGCCCTGCCTGCTGGCCGGGCGGGACGAGGAGCCCAAGGCCGGAGCCGGTGCTGGAGCGGGGGCCTGGCGCGCTCCTCCGTGGCCGAGATTAGTATTAACTTTTTGCGGCTAGTTGCTCTCAGCACTCTGAGAAAGGACATCTATATTAAAAAATATTTATAGCAGGATTCTGTACAGTCCGACCGCTGAAAGTTAAAGGGATTATTGTGGTGGTGGCCCAGAACTGGGTGGCAGCGTCCCCGGGGCCACTAGAGCAGCAGCTTCCCATTCCGGTGGATCTTCAGGATCTTGCCGAGCCGCTGCTTGGCCGTGGCCATCCCCTTCTTCGTACGCTTCCCTGGAAGGACAGCAGGGGTGGGGTGAGGACCCATGCCCACCCCACACCACCCCACAGGCACAGACCCTCCATCTGCCTCCTGCCTCCATGGCCCTGCCGCCAGCCCAGCCCAGCACCTTCAAGGACACCCACCAGCAGCCCTCAGGAACGGGGCTGCTGGCCACAGGACAGGGCTTGGCTGGGAGCACAGCCCCTGGAGAGACAGCCCTGCTGAGCCGGGGCCCAGGGCACACCCAGGGACACATGGGGACACCTGCTCCGGGGAGGCACAGCTCTGCCAGGCACCCTCCTGCCCCTGCAGTTCCAGCCCTGCTGCCCTGTGCCCTCACCTGCCCTGGCTCGCTGCTCATGGTCGCCTGTTTGCCCACAGGGCGACAGTCAAGCCCAGCCTCACCACTGCCATTCTGCCCCTCAGGGAGAGGCTGCACGCACACGCAGACACACCGACACAGACACACAGACACATTCCCTACAGCTCTTTGCAGCTCCAGGCTCCTGGGCACATCTCTGCCTTGGACCTGTTTCCCACCATTTCACCACAAAAGCACAATTCCAGGCAAATACATTCTTTCCACTTGAGCTCTGCAGAGAGCCACAGGTACTACCAGCTCCTGGCAGGACCCCAGCCCCTACCACAGGCCACACACATCCTGCCCTATGGCCATCCAAGCTGCCAGGGTACTGTGCACTGCCTCTAATCTGCTCCACTCGAATACATGGAATTCAGGAAACATCTGCCACATTGCCTCACTTGTCACTGAGGCCTTTCCCAGTGGGATCACACACAATTTTCATGCTACACAGTGCCTGTCCTACACACCTGCCTCAGTTACACTTCCTGAGCCAAGTTCAAATGGACAGCAGGAGGTCCCAGCCCAGACTCTGGGACAGCCTCAGCTTTCTCATGCTTTCCCTGTGACAGACAGTGAGCAACCTCTTCCTCTCTCCTGCCTCTGGTTGTAGTTGTGTTACTCCCAAGGTCTGATATTCCTCTGCTTCCTTGCAGCAACCCTCCAGAGAGATCTGCAGTGTGTCCTGCTCTACATGTCCTGGGAGGACTGTCCTCAGCTACAGTCAGCACAGAGCTGGTGTACAGCCACCACCAACACCGCAGTGCCTGCCCCAGCCCTGGGCAGAACAGCCTTCATGGACGCTTCCTCCCCTGGCCAAGGCTCCACCGGCCAGGCTGTCTGGGATGTGGCCCTGCAGGCGCTCCTCCTGAGCTGTGACCAGGCTGGGCAGTGCTCCTGCCAGGGATACCCACATCCTGCAACCAACAGCCCAGCACAGAAACACCTACTTGGCCCCGCAGTGCCGGGACAGCCAAGGCCACAGGCCCTGTCTCTGACCAGATGTGACTTGCATCCACGCGCCTGCGCCTGCGCACGCCCACACCGCACGCTGCAGTGGAGGCCCTGTGGAAGGCTCGGGTTCCACGGCCCTTCACCCTTCCCCACTCCTGCACCACAACCCAGGCGTTTCCTGGTACCTTTGGCGGAGGCATTGTTCTGCGAGGATGATGAGGGTCTCCTCTGTGTGAGGAAAACACCGGGTGCCATCGGCTGCGATCCCCTGTTAGGCTGGGCGACCCCAAAGGTGCTGGCCCCTGCGGTGTACTCGTGATCTGTGAGGCTGCTGGCCTGTGACTCCAGCTTCGGCTCGGGGGAGCTGCCTTCCTGAGCCTCTTTGCTTGCGTTGGGGGCTGACAGCTTCTTTTTGGTATTTTTTTTCTTCTTGCCTTTTTGTTCCTCCTTTAAAATGACAAAGATGAAGCTCAGATTAATCCCCAGAAGACCTTTAGCTAGGGCAAGGGCGAGCGGCGTTGCTTAGGGTCCTGATACAACGACACGCCAGGAGTTGGCCATGGACAAGCGCTCGGGGGCTGCTCCAACACGTCTGGCTCACAGCTGCACACACACGTTTGCCTCTCGTGCCTCTACGTCCTCGCTCTGTGCGGGGCCTCCTCGTTCCTTACCACTGCGGCGAGCGGGAGCCAGCGGGGCAGCACCGACACCGCCCCGGCACAGCAGCGTGGTCAGCATGGGCAAATCTTTCCATCTTCCACAAAAACTGGCACTTCCTATCTTCGGGGATCTTCACACCCTTGCACAACAGCACGAAGGATATTAAACATCCCACTGATTCAGCCTCTGCTTCCTGCTAGGACACACACATCATCTCCTACCTGTAACTGCACCTGGACATGCACACTGGGATGGCAGAGGTCTGCTACTGTCCTGTGTCCCTTGTCTACTTTCAGTTCCTTCTTCTTGAAACCCTGCCACCATCCTTAAAGCTCTTCCACTCAATAGTCCACATCGCAGAAGCCCAAGGCCACCACAGCCTGCATCTCCACCAGCTGGCTGAGGTGCCTCACCAACCTCGCTCCAGCAGACCTTGTCACCTTAGCATCTCACCGTGTCACCTTTACGGGGCTTCTCTGACCCCTTCAGAGACCAGACACTTACCAAACATCCAAACTGCCCCAGTACCTTTCCTAAATTGACCCTTTGCTCACAGTTCACCGATCCTTTGGAAGCAAACCCTGACACTTCCCAGCAGCCAATCTGCAGACAGGCAATCACACCAGTCAGGCTCTCAAGTACACATCAAATACACTCCTTTGAGGCAGCCTTCTCTCCTGTTGTACCCCAGTAGCCATTCTCACGCCCTCATCCTTCCCTGTGCTTTTCTCTGTCCCTTGCTACCCTGTGACATGCTTAGGTGCGTTGTGACACCGCTGGGCTTGGATCCCGTTTATTTCCCTGAGACTGCAGAGCCTCGTGTCATTGGCAGGACCAAACACTAAACAGGGCTGGCACGGCACTAGGCTTGGGCACAGCTCTGCTGCTGGGGACAGGGCTCTCCTTTCCTGACAGCTCCTACTCTCCAGGCAACCTCTCACCTGCTGTGACAGCTTGGCGGCAGCGGCGGCGAGTCCAGTTTCGATGGAGGCGACTCTTGTGCCTTCTCGCACCGGTCTGTCCTGGCGGGGCACCGAGGGGCCAACCCGTGCTGCAGGGAGAGCAGAGGCAGGTCAGGGGCAGGAATGTACCCATGGGAGCAGCAGAGCCACCACAGGGCAGCGGGCTCTGCCCTGCTCAGCCAGGAGAGATGGGGCAGCCTCTGCCCTTCCCTTCCCCAGGTACGAGTGAAGGCACAAGAGCCAGCAGCCTCCAGGCACGGTGGCACGGGCAGAAGCTGCTGACAGAGATGTCACACAGCTGAGCAGCTCCACAGCCACCTAAAGCCAAAGCCACGCGGGTTTGTGCCCACATCCTGGATCATGAGTGTTATCTCCAAAGTGACAATGCTTACCTGCAACTGGGGGAGGACATGCAGGGCCACAAGCTGATGACACCACCCATGGGCTGCTTGTCACACCCAGCACACACAGAGGGTGCCCTGCTCATGGACCACAGGGGTCACAGGGGTCAAAGGGGTCTAGGGGCCCTCTTGCCTGTCACTAGCCCTGGAGAGCTCCAACAAACCCAGGGCAAACCAAACCCTTCCAGATCATGAGCTTCGGCTGAACCTGGAGGAGACTATTCCTGCTCTCTCTCACTATTCCCACAGTCAACACTGAAATCCACACCAACTCAGCTGTCCAGGGCTTGATTCACTGTTACACCACTGCTATGGTGGCAGCCAAATGATCTATCACTAAGAGTGTGAGAAAAAATGAACCAACCAAGGAATTACTTTCTCCTGCCAGCTGATTGCAGGAGGAAGACTAAAACTGCTTGGCAGGAATCCCAGTGCCTGGATCACCTCCCACTGCCCTGGAAAGGGTTAACCTTCATGTGATAAAGAAATCACTAGCTGTGTGTTACAGTTTCCACACTCCTTGAAAAATTTAGAGATTTGTATGACTTAGCCTGGGCAGCACAGACCACATCAACTTACCAGTTGGACTGTAAGGGGCATCATCTGAACTTTTCCTTTTCTTTGATCGGGACTTGAATACTGGATTATCTTCGTCTGATTCCAGAGAAGGGTAAACTACAGTAGGAAACAAAGGCAAGAGTTTCAGTTCAAGAAAAAGCTCTACCCTGCACAGAGGACCCTTGCTCTGTCCAGGTGCAGTGACCACAGGCATCACAGCTGCATGATCCCCAGAAGTGCCATTGAGCACTCGGGACTTTCCTCTGCTCTCATCCACACATTACTATTGGGAGCTGCTGTCATTAAACTGTGACTGGCTCTCTATACTCCTCTATAATCACAGAATATCCTGAGCTGCAAGGGAGCCAGAAGAATCATTGAGTCCAGCTTGGTTGCCCAGTGAAGCTGTGGCTGCTCCATCTCTGCAAGTGTCCAAGGCCAGGCTGGACAGGGCTTGGAGCAACCTGATCTGGTGGAAAGTGTCCCTGCCCACGGCAGAGGGTGGAACTAGATGGCTCTTGAAAGTCCCTTCGAACCTAAACCACTCTGTGGTTCCTTGATAATTATGGCAGAACTGATGTAACTGCTGTAAACTGTCTTCGTGCCCATTTCTGCTGCAGATGCTTGCCATCTCTGCCAAAACTCAAAACAGCATTAGATCCCTTTTCCATGTACAAATTCAACTTCTCACTCCTCTCAGCTGAAGGTTTAATTGCTACTGTGCAGACAAGGAATTTTCTGTTACAAGTAGCAGTACCTGACCCACATTTCTGGGACAGTCCCCCGTTTCTGGGTTGACTGCTGCAGTTTCGAGAGCTCTCCATGTTTCTTGAGAGTTTCTCATTGTGCCACACCTCAAATCCAGCCTGCCTGGATGGCTGTGTGACCCTGGGCTCTGCAGCCACTCTGCTGTGACGTGTCTTTGCTCCCTTTGGTGTGCAGGTCCCTGTTCCATGTGCTGCTCCTGCGCGCGCGGGGCCGATCCCAGGGTGGCAGGGTGGGAGGATGCCCCCACAAGCAAAGGGACATTCACCAACAGGACACGTGTGTCCAGGCAGCCCCAGGCACAGCCTCACTCTGCTTCCCTCCTACTCACCATAATCCGAGTCCTTAAAACAGGCATCCAAGTGATCCTGGTCCTCGTCGTAATCCTCAATGTCGATGCTGTTCTTTGTGCTTTTCTTCAGCAGCCGTTTCCCAGCGTTTTTGTTGCCACCACCACCAGTTTTCTTCAAGTTTTGTGTGGAGAAGGAGTTGTTCTTCGCCTGATTGGTACCCCACGACGTCTGCAGGCAGGACTCTGAGGCCTGGAGGTTTGCCATAGAGAGCATGCCCTGGATGGCTTCCTGCGTGCTGGGGGAGGCAGGTGGCTGGCTGTGGGGCACACAAGAGATGCCAGAGCACTTAGTGATTCCAGAAACACCAACCCCTCACAGGCAGCCAGCTCCTGCCAGGCAGCTGTGCTAGGAGAGACCCCCTGATTCCTCTGAGTAACTGCACGTACCACCAGGGCCAGTGGGAAATTTTAGAGGACAGGAATACCACAAAGAGCACCTCAGATGTGGGGGTGATGGCCTAGGAGCCAGGGAGATGTGGGCAGGTCCCTGGGGCTTTCAGCACTCTGGGCAGAGCTCAGGAAACTTCCCAAAGCCCACAGCAGAATCCCTGACAGAGCAGTGTCTCTCTACCAACTACCATCATCATCATCATCACCCTCCTTCTCCTCCTCCTCATTATCATCTTTAAATATCTATCTATCTATCTATCTATCTATCTATCTATCTATCTATCTATCTATCTTTAATAATGTTATTTTTCTGTACTACCAAATGATCCTCCTCATCATCATCATTTTTAATAGTATTATTTATAATCTACATTATCAGCTCCTGTAAAAGGAGAGCTTATGCATCAGCACTGGTGGGGGATGTCAAGGGGGTCTCTACTCAAAACTACCTGGAAGTTTTTGGTCCCTGTTCACATCATGGGCTGTCACCATTCCAGGAGCTGCTGGAAATTAATTCTGAGACTGGCAGAACATATCATCCAGTATTTACAGAAGTTTGGAGTTTGGCAAGTTGTGAAATGCAAAAAACCCCTTGTTGTGGCAATAATATTTGTTACACTTGTTACACTTGTTATGCATTTGTTGTGCAATAGAAGGCACAAACATACAAGAAAATTAACAGCACCATGTCACTTTCTCCTACTTGAGCTTCATCTGGGCTCTGAATAGAGTAATGTACAAGACCATAAAGGAAGTTTCTGGGCACTAATGGCATTTAGTCATGATCCTGAAAATGAGTTAAGACTAATTCAGAATTCAACAAACAGAAGAACATCAAAAAACTTGTTTAGGAAAGAGTTATTTGAATCCCTCCAATATAATGCCTTCTCCTCTGCCTTCTCCCTGGCAAAGAAATATTTTGCATCATCTACAAGGAATCATCATATTTTCTTCCAGCCTTTTTCCCTGAACTGTTTTTCCAAACACTGGACTCTCAAAACACTGCAAACAGACCATCAAATACTGACCACTAAATGGGCAAATCAGAGAGGAACTGCCTTAAGCAACACAAACTTCAACAAATAAATGGTGGGATATGATCAAAAACAGTGGTTCTGAGACTTAAACACCAACCTGAAGATGGGGAAATGTCTCAGAGCTGCACATGGGGCAGAGTGTTTCTCATTAGGGCATGTGCTTGGTGTGCTTCCCTCAGGAGTATTTCAGCTTTCCAATCCAAAAAAATTCAAGAAGACTCAGGAAGCAATTTTGAAGCTCTGGAAGAGCCATATCCCCTTTCTGTAGCTTCAGCAATGATTTTTAAAAAACCACATTTATGAAAGTAAACTATCAATGGGTTACAATTATGGCTTAAAAAACCATTTTAAAAGAGCATTGGAGCAGGAACAAAGTGCTTCTGTCCCTGCTGTATCCCCACAGCCATCTCCAAACACAAGGGAGGTGGCACTGGATGATAGCTCAGAACTGCCTCCAGCCCAGCAGCCTTATTGTCCTGTCCTCGGGCTGACAGCTGCTCTCGTGGGTGCACAGAGAGCAGGACACTCTAGCAGACACACTGGCAGCTCTTTGTGCCTTCATCCTGCTTGTGGCAGCCCTGGTGTGGCAGCAGATCCAGTGCAGTGCCCGTCCCCTGTGCTGGCACTGCTGCAGCCCCACCTGGAGTCCTGGGGTCAGCTTTGGGTTCCTCATGACAAGAAGGACATTGAGGGGTTGGAGCATGTCCAGAGAAGGGAGCAGACCTGGGGAAGGGGCTGGAGCACCAGCAGTGGCTGGGGGAGATGGGAAAGGGGCTCAGGCTGAGAAAAGGAGGCCCAGGGAGACCGTGGTACCCAGGTTTGCCATTCTGTCCCTGGCATGTCCCAGAGCAGGTGGAGCAGGCAGACAGCTGTGCTGGGGACAGCAGCAAGCACTGCTGGACTCAGGTTTTACTTCCTCAGTGGGCAGGGCACAGGAATGATCCCAGCACCCTCCATCATGCAGGATATTGTGTAGGGAGCCTGTGCCTTGCTCTTCATCACCAACTCTACCACTGCCATCTCTCTCACCCTCTCTAGGCAGATCATGTCCTTCCTTCCATCAGCAATCAGAGTCTCCTACCTGTATCCTCATATTTAGAAACTGAATTGATAATACTTCAGAAGAGTATTACTGATTGAGAGGTGGCTCTGGAGAAGTCACAGTTGTACAAAATGAAAGAACTCAAACAATTTCAAGCACAAACCAAGTGTTTTCTTCCATTTTTGAGTCAGACGTGGACATGAGTAATTTTGCTCCTTTCAAGATCAGGTGATGACCAGCCCTCCAAGCTTTTTGCATACTCCCTTTCAGTTCTTTCAGTGGGTTCCCACATTCACAGCAGCCTTTCTGCAGGAGCTCTGTCCTTCCCTCTCCCTGTCTTGCTGACACACACAGTTGAGCTGCAGCTCTCTAGAGCACTCCAGATAATGCCATCAGGGCTTCTGGGGTGGCCAGCTGCTAGTGACAGCTCAGTGTTTTACAGAATAAAGCTTGCCATGGTTCAGATAAGGCCACTGTCACAAAAAGTCCTGACCTGCTTCCCCGTGCCTGGGAATCCAGCACTGTTCTGACAGGGATGCAGGCACTGACTGCTTGTGTGGGAGGACATCCCACAGTGCCATAGGGCTGCTCCACAGCACCCACAACACACACATACAGATCTATAAATACATACATTCGCTAGCCTTCACCTGCCCTGCAAGCAGAGAAAGGTGGGAATTATTCCTGAGAGTCAGACGTGACCACACTGGCCTCATGCTGGGACACGGCGTGTTTGCGTACCACGTTTCTTCCGCTTCATTTTCAAAAAGACCACGTTATGGCCATTTGAAAAGCCAAGGGTAATTATGAAATGAAACACAGCAATTACATTCACCAGGGGCTTTTTCCAATCAAGGTGCAGCACACACTGCCAAAACCCAGTGTTTATTCCAGAGCCAGCACTGATATGCACGCTCCTACTGAACACCCCACACAGAGCAGTAACTCAGCCGAGTCCGGGGTGGGACTTTGATTCCACAAACCACAGAGCCTTCAAACACCCTGGGTACAGCGCCCAGGCTGAGGGGGGAGAGCAAAGGCCTGAGTTTAACCTCTGTTCTGGTTTAACCCCTTGCAGACAGCAAAACACACCCTGAGCGAGGCAGACAATTGTCAAGGACCATTTCAAAGCATGCAGTGAGCTGTGTTATCCACAGAATGGCCAGCAGTGTACACAGGGCCAAGGAAGATTGCTTTGAGTTCTTATAATAGTTGATAATTTTTCTTTTTTTATAGCAAACTTCCAGCATGGAAGTTTTATTAGCCCGGCAACTTTATGACAGTATCAGACACACCTAACTACTTTTTCATGTGTCTAATCCTCTGCTAAAATGAAAGTGTAAAATCAACATAAACACTCATATTATGAACCATAATGCAGAAAGGAAAAGGAATTCACAGGGATGGTGTCAAGCAGACAAGTGTCAATGTGATTATTTCTTTCCACCTCTCACTGTTTGGATCACTGAAGGATCTGGTGCTGTACCTTACTGGCCATAGCCCAAAACATCCAGTGTCACTTTCCACGTTCCACAGAAAACACCACTAAGCCCAGGCAGACATTTCCATTTCAGGTACAGAAGTGCCCATGAAAGAGTGTGCTTTTTTTCCCCAAGCCTTATTTTTTGGTGGGAAGAAGAATGACAACCATGGATGGAAGGGAGGGAGGGAGGGAGGGCAGACAGTTTCCTATATCCTTTTTTTAAACACCCGGCATTTGTGGCACCTTGGAGTTCCTTATGGGAGAAATGCTGGCCACTTAGATAATTTTATTACAATCTCACTACATTAAAAACCTTAATTTTCACCCTCAAGCTGCAGTCACTGAACTCTCTCCTTGTTTTGAATTATTAATCTATTACAGCATTATTGCTAAAACTGACCTTCAGCATCTACAGATGTGATAACCCTCTATTTGTTCAAATTATACCACCAAAATCGTTCCTCCCTCTCCCTCCAGATCACAGGATAAAGAAAAAGTTTGCTTACTGGAGAAAAAGCAGTTACCAAGCTGCAAAATTCATTCTTACTCACACACAATCACAAAAGGGCAATTTTGTTCACAGGCAAGAGGGAAAAGCATCCCCTGGTGCGTACCTGTTGGTGTTATACTCTAAACCCCCAACTTCCTTGCTTGCCTGCAAAAGATCAAGAATTCCTGCTGAACTTCCACTCTCTTTCTTTACTTTGGAATTGCGTCCAGGCTTTGCCTCTGTGTCAATGTGAAGCAAATCTTCATCTGATGAGTCCTCGCTCTGCAAAAACAAGGAAAGGGCTAAAAAAGGTGAAAACTCAATGAGCTGGTCCCCAAGAACAGCACAGTGATTTCTGCACCCTGCTGCTCCTGCAAAGACACAGGCCTAGCCTTTGGAATTTGCTTTATTTAAACAAAAACCAAACCAAACCAAACCAAACCAAAACAAAAAAAATAAAAAAGCTTTGGGATCTGATCCTGTTCAGGGAATCAATTCCCTTTACCAGGGCGGGAATCTGGCCTGCATCTGGCCCTCTCTCTGGGGCTGAGATTTCTAGGCACTGTAGTCTGGTGCCCAAGAAAACAAGTTCTTCCCCCTTCCTGCCCTGCTTTCAGGCTGCTACAGCACCAGTCCTTATTGCTGTGGGTGCCGGCCTTGTCTCTCCAGGGACTCCCTCCTTGGGCTCCTGCACAGGGAGACACTTCCAACCCCAGACCTCTGGCACCGACTCAGACAGAGGTCTGTACTTCCTCCTGATGTCCCAGACACAAATCAGGGTGAAAAGAACTCCATAGTACTGAAGGCCAAGCACTTTGGTCATCTTTGGCTCTGTCTTAACAAACTATTTTGCTTTTTCTGACTTATTCTTGTATTATAATATGAATTTGTATTAACCACAGTAGGGCAAAACATTTAATTTTAATGTAATTTGATTTCCAGCATTGAGTTGTGGCACAAGTGGCACAAAACAAACACTTGAGTTGCTACATCACAGGAAGAGAATCACAGAATGGTTTGAGTTGGAAAGGACCTTAAGAACCTCGTGTTCTAGGAGTGTCTCCTTGTGAAGGTACAATAACCTCATACCTTGTATGGTACTGACTCCACCTTTGCCTTCTTAACAGGAGTATGATGCAGGGCTTCCTTTTTATCTGATAAAACTGAATAAATAAAAAGAAACAAAAAGTCATATTTTTTCCCCTTCATAAACCAGCCCTCCTATTCCACTCACATTTGACTGATAGGTAAGACATGGCTTTCTTGATTCAAAATCACATAGTTTTAAAAGATTATATTGATTGCATTGGACAATCAGCACCTAAGACTTTGTTGAGCAGATAAAGATAAACTAGGAAATATCCTTACAGGGCAGTTCTCTTTTTGCAGTGTTTTTCTTTCTTCTGATTGGAAACTCATCAATTTTTAGTTCACCATCATCTGACACATATTCATATTCATCCCGTACAGGTTTGGCTTTGTCCTCTTTAAAATTCTGCAGTGACCCAAACACACTGGTATTCAGATGAGTTTTGACTCCCTTTGAACTGAAAAAAAAATATTTACAAATCAGTAACAACACTCTGAGTAGAAAACAGCTTGTGACTTGACAGACAATGAGTATCTCTGGGCAGAAATCTCAGTCAAACTGAACTCCTTCAGGGGTGCCAAATCAACTAGAATAATTGTACAAACACATTTCTGAATGTACAATTTATATCTCAAAATAGGACTCTGACTAGAGCACTAGAAGAAGTTTTAATGATAGAGTATTTTCTACATTGACCAGAAAGGCAGGTTTTCATCATCTTGTATAAAAAGTATAAATAATGACCTTTCAATTTCCTTTTTCAGTTGATGTGTGTTGTCATATTTTTACTTACCCAAGCAACTTCTTATTAGAGAAAGAGAATGTGAATTTGTTGTCTTTATTTCCTGATAAAGGCGTCTTTTCCGATTTGTGCTCCTCTTCCATTTTTAGGAGTGAGTCAGGTTTACTGTTCTGAAAGGCAAAAGACCAAACCGAAATAAATAAATCAGTTAAACGAGTCCTTTATGTTTCAGCTTCCCAGGTACCCTCAGAATCTAAGCCTGTTAAATTTTCTCTTATTAAAAACCCTATCAAATTTTCCCTGCAGACAAAATGTTCTATTCTGTGGGTAAATTTCACTCACACTGCATTAGCCTTCAAGAAAGGCAAGCTTTTAATCCATATGCCATAATTCAGATTTCATTAACTCTAATCTTATGCCATTAAAATTAGTTATTGATTATTAGCTATTAGTTAGTTATTGATTTCTCATTAGTTATTGATTTCAGACTTAAACTAGTAGGATTGTGTCAGAGCAAGAATCACACTGAACCATCTCACTCTTAACAGTCTGGTGTCACGATGGACAAATGGTCAATTCAGCACATGCTTTTGAAGAATCCATCCACTCTCTCTTCCTTTATCAGGGACTATTTGATTATTTCCTGCTTGATCTTCTTTTCTTTGGGAACTGAAAATTGGCAGCTTGTTCTCTCCGCTTAGACAGAGCCACAACCCTTGGCTTATCATCATGTGGCAGAATTTAACAGGAGACATTACCTTGTATTTCCATTTGGCTTCTGTTTTGCTTTTATTTTGCTCTCGAACTTCAAATTTCTCCACCTCATTCTGTTTGCTCACAGATTCCTTATTGGGAACACTTAAAACATTCTTTGCAGCCTGGGAAAAAAGTCAGGAAAAAGTCCTCTGAATGAGGAGTGCTGGCATATCAGAAACACAGGCTTTATGTGGGAAGTAACATGACATATTCTTGAAAACTCCCATTTATTCTTTTTGAATCCCAAAATGTTCAATCAAACATTGAGGTTCAATCAAATATTGCTCCTTCAGAGTGTGCAGAATAGCAGCTGCACTTCTCCTTCATACACCAATACTCTCCTCTTCCTGTCTGTCACCTCATGACAGGTTTCACAAACTGCACACAAACTCTTAGAACTTCAGAAACATTTTAGGAAAGATTTTTCTTCATAAACATGGATATTTCTTCACAAACAGTATACAACAATTCCTCTGTCAGAGCCTTGATGGATCCTGGCCCCTACTGAAATCAGTAGCAAAATTCATGCTGAATTGCAGGGCATCAGAATTAAAAGATGTCAAAAAGAAACTTGTCCTACATGGGTAAAAGTGGAAGAAAACTATTGTTCTGTTTCCAGTCACCCATTCTAGAGTAACATTTCAAGCAAATGAGATGCTATAGAAATAAGTTCTTTCATTACAGACACCTTTTGATACCAGTGGGTTTCTGGGAGGCTTCACATCAATGAATAACCAGCAAAGAGCCAAACCAAACCCAGCAGCTGGGGAAGAGAAGGGCAACGAGCCAGCAGTTACAAACCTTTCCTTTGCTTCTGCAGAGCCAGGCTTTCACAACGTGTGCACATATTACTTCTGCACGAGATTTACGGAGTGATTTTGTCTCTCTGAGGGTGGGAGAAGAGGCAGAGGTTAAAACATGACTCACCTTCCCCTTCTTTGGCGTCTCAATCTTGGTCAGAGCCTCCTTTGTGTGTGCCTCCAGCAGGTCGAGGTTGGGGATGGCTGGTGGAGGGCTCTCCTTTGCCTTCTTTCCTTTCTTTTTGCCTTCTCCCTTCACTTTCGGTGTTTTGGGAGGTTTGGGGGATTTGGGAGCCTTCGGGGGTTTGGATGGCTTGAGCTGTTTGGGGGTTTTCACAGTTTTGGGAGTCTTTTTTTTAGGAAGCTTTTCTAGAGGTGGGGGCGGAGGGGTGACTTGGACGGGCGACGGAGCCTCCTCCTTCTGCACAGGACAGATCTCCTCGGCCGCGGGGTTGGCACTCGTGTCTGCTTTGCTGGCCTTTGAAGCATTCTGTGGTTTGGCACAAAGCACAAGGTGCTCAGACACACCTGTCCTGCTTTTGACATTCACATGCACCCTCCGTTAGATGGGGAAACAACCCCAAAGATGCCCAAAGATGCGGTGGAGAGGATCTGCAGCACAGGTCAGTCTGACCGAAGAATGAAGATCCCATCATGGCCACAATAATGCTCTGCTCACCCCCAGCTCCCACCTCCACATTCCTCAAGCCTGGTGTGCAGTAACTCCAGAGGCTTGGCAGGGAATGTAACCCTCTCTGGGTTGTACCCTCCTGTGGCCTGACCACACAGGATGGATAAAATCAACAGCCTTCTGCTTAAAATGCTGATTGGCTTGAGCAAAAACCCTTTCCATTCAATTCTGATGTGATAAATATAGCAGAATCACATTTTATGCCCTCAGGAAAAATTAGCAGTAAAATAGCTGCCCAATTAAAATTAACACAGACTAATTAAAAAGAAATTATTTTCTGCTTAGCTTGCTGTTCTGACAATCAAAAAGCTTAAAATACTACATCAAAGAGGATCAAAGGACATGAGAGGTTTCAGTTTTAAGGTCTCCGATGTGGTTAGGAACAGGGTGGAATGTAGCACAAAGTCTTCCTGAAGGGGCTGAGCCAGCTGTGGTCACCTTTTGCTGTCACACATCTCCACCCAGCAGGATTTGGGTACCACACTCAATGGGTACCACACTCAATGGGTGATACCTCCATGCATTTTATAGCCTGGATGCCCAATACAGTAAATATTATAAAAACAGCACAAACCTCACTTAATCTTATTTCTTTGGCAAGGTCCTTGATAAGTTGTGCTGGTTTGAAGTTTTCTGGCAGTTCATCTTCATGCTCTGCTAAAGCCTAAAGCACAACAAAGCCAAATTGTTGTTTCTGTGCAAGTTTTCTTCAAAAATTAAAAAAAAACAACCTCTAGAAGTCACTTGTCTGTATTTTTTTCTATGTATTTAAATCAATCTTGACTTCATTAGACATTCAAATAAGAAAAAAAGGATCTTTTTCTATTCTGGATGTTATTGTAACAAGTTGTCCTCAGAGAACAACAAATCAATCATCTTTTTTCAGATATTATTTCATTTTCACAAATGCAACATCACTTTGCTCACCCCCCATTCTCCCAACTCCTTCTCTTTGGCATCTTAGAACTGGATGCTTTGCAATGGAGATGTTATTTGCTCCACGATTTCCTCTCTGCTCTAGCAACAGACAAACACATAATATTTATCCAGGCTGCCTCTCCTACCTGTTTTTTAGTCCATGACCTGAAAGCACCATTGAGGATCTTTGCTCCCTGAAGGAGATGAGCAGGTGGTTGTTGTCCAGCTTTATGCAAACCTAAGCAAAGAAAAAGACCAGTATCATTCAACCACTGACAGCTACACTTGTTTACAGAAAGCATTTAATTTGAAAATTGTAACTGGGAAAGCTGAAGTTAACTCTTTGAGAGTTGATCCCCACAAATGAATCCCTACTATAACCTGATGGTAATAAGCAGTGCTTTTATTGTGTTCCAAGTCCAGCTGAGCCTTCCTGCCCTGTGCTCCTGTCAGTTATTGCTACTGAAATTCAGGGCAACTGGCCTCAGATCCCAAAGCTGAGCCATCAGGGTGGGCAAGGAAATGCAGCTTTACCTTTGAACTTCTCTAGCAGATGCTTCCCCATATACCAACATGCCGTTTCAAAGTTGGGAAACTGGGTCAGACTGACGATTTTCAACCTCCTTTCTACTTCATATGCCCTGCAAGACAAAGCCACAGGAAACTGAGCGTGGCAGAGCACGAGTGTGTCACAGAAGTGCCAGGGTCACTTTGCAGTGGGCCACCTCTTTGTCCTGCTGCCACATAGGCTAGCCTCAGGCCAAAAGCAAAACATGACAGCACTGGTAAGATACTGAGATACAGATGTATGATGGTTTTATTGCACTATTTGCCCAGAATCAGTAAAGAACTCAGTGCATTGTCTTACACTGGGCAAAGCGCCCAGCTGAGCAGGTGGGGGCTGACCCAGCAGCGAGTGGCAGGTGCCAGGGTAAAGCTGCAGGCAGTGTGTAACTGTTCTGCCTCCAGGATGTGGCCACATCAATCCAGGCTCCTCAGGCATCCTCCTGTGCCTTGTCAACAGGGGTAAGGACAGCTCAGGGTAAGTCAGCACGAGGGAATACGGTCGGGGGGACAAAGGTGGGTGCACCAGGCAAAACTGCCCAAGAGCTACACCAGCATTACTGTCAGTGATTCACTAGTACTGATTTATTTAAAAATGAGCTCTACATAACATTAGATTTTAAAGTCAGATTACCTCATCTGCATTTCCACACTTAGACTGTGTAGAAAATGTCCTGCAAAGGCCAGGCAGTCTACTGGTGTTAGAGTTGCATAAATCCAGCCTAAAAGAGAGAGAAGAGTCCTCAAGACAAGAACTCGAAGGCTATTAGCACAGACTTCAATCCCAAATGATGTCTACACTTCATTGAGCACCTTGCTCCACAGGTACCCACAGAGCCCAGCCCCAGAACCACACACTCTTTGAACAAAGCTGCCCCTGGTCCCATCTTTGCTTTGCTACATAACGGCAGCTGCTTTCCTGTCTCCTCAAAGACCTGAAACAGCCCTTGACGTGCTTTATCACAGCGTCAGTATCAGGTGTTTTCTAAACATGTATTTTCATGCAAAAATCTACTCGAGTTTGTGAATCTCTGTAAACTGCTCTGTATTTGTTCCACCATCTGCTCCACAGATGGTCATAAGAGAAACACTTTCCACTTCTTGCAGCCAAGGTAAAATGCAAGTGCATAAACATTTGGTGCAAGAATCTACTCACACACAGTGACCTGTAGCTCCTTAGTGTCACAGGGGATTAAGGGGTGACAAGGATTTGGGGGTGTCATGGTCAGAATGCATGGTCAAATTCACTTCATGTAAATTGTCTGTTAAATGTCAGAAAGCACCAATGACATGGTGGATGCAGACAGAGAACTCATGAGTTACTACAACCCAGCTAGACCACGAGTGGAACACTCTTCCTACAAGTTTAACTTTTAAAAGGCTGCTAAAATATTAACAGAAAGCAGTAAAAGTTCTGATTTGTTTTGTTTGTAAGCACATGAAATAAAACCTCTACTGAGAATTAGGCTCCATACTTTGTCAGAGAGAGTTGTCAAATCCCACCCCTCTGACATTTTGGATGTGCTACTCTAAAGGGTGAGGAAAGCCCTCCTCTCCCCCCTCACTCACCTGATGGGATGAAGAGTGTCTGGCCTTGTTTAATGGTGCATTTGTAACATTTGTCTACTTGGTCTGCAAAAAACATCTCACTGTGATTTGCTGCTGACTGCCAGCGTTCATACAGAGAAATATTTGCAGAGGCTGGTTTGATGAGATAAAAGATCTTTTCTCCCTGAATTAGAAATATAAAATTAGCAATGAGCAGCCAAATCAAACAACACTGCACTGGCACACACACACACAAAGACACACACACACACACAAATAGTTATCTAAATATACATGTATGTGTATTTCGGCGGTATTTAAATCAAATTACTTAGTCAGCTTTTTACAGAAGGGCTGAAATAATTAAATCACACCTGACCACACCTGCTCAGATTTGTGGGAGTGATGGTACAAAAGGTTTACAGTGCCAGGTTCCATCATGCTGCAAAAGTAGGACATGGTATCTTTAAGGCCTAGGGTGATGTATGTGCAGAAGGCACTAAACAAATATAAAAATCCTAATAGAGAGAAAATACCCAGAGGACTTCCATGCTCCAAGTGTTTTCTCACTCAGGAGACCCGGGCACCTCTGGGAGGGCACTCAGAGCAGTTAAGGCTCACATACAACAGGACAACAACGAAAAAAAATGAGAGCTGAATTTTGGAGAGAACTCTCCTATGGCCTTCGTGGATAAAATCGAGTTTGTTACTAGCTACAGCTGAGAGCCAGGCTCCCTCACCTTCAGCACGTGGTACCAGGCAGAAGCCCCCCCAGAGTCTATGTGGAAGTCAGTGTAGCTGTCTTTCACGCAGATCAGGCAGTACTTGGTCACTTTGGGTTTAGCCAGCAGAGCATCGTCAGGCCAGTAATTTTCCACCCAGGACAGCTTCTTAACGATATCAGGAGGCTCTACAAAGCTGGACATCCTTACAGACAGAGTGGAGAACAGACAGGCAGCTTTTAAAACAGAGCACCAGGACCCCGGTACAGCAAGAAGCAAGTGTGACAAATACTTGCATGGCAAACTGGAGCAGCTCCTCTTGTGGCAGTGGAACTGCTCTCCATTCAGAAAATTAGGGAAAACTGTTTACAGACAGAGATTTAAGGTTTTTTAAGTGTGATGACTTAACAACAATCCTTTGCCCTCTTTCAGCAGTATCATCTATGATCAAATATGTGCTGGTTGTAGTTTTCCAGCCCCTGCTATGCAGGCTCAGGGACCACACTGCTGCGATCACAGCAGATCAGAACAGAAAGTGAAATGTGTGCACTTGGACAGAAATCCCCTGGTAAACTGTAAAAATTAGCAAGTCAAGCTTCATATTAATACTCCAAATAACAACAACATTAATGCTTGTTGATAAATAACTCTTGATCTGATGCTGAAAAACAGCAATCTTCTTTAGATGGAGTAAATTATATTCAAAGCTCAGAAGAAGGAAAAAGTCTAATTTGGGTTGATAATGTGAATATATTTAAAATATAAGATATATAATACATATTTCTATAATTTATATGAATGAATCTATTTATGTACATTAAGAACATACTCTTACTGGATATGTATCTAAATTTATACAAAATATTATCTTCATTCACACTGAACATATGTTCCTATTTATTTATTTACATCATTCATATATTTTGTTTTTGTCAAATACATAACATATACTATAATCACAACTAAGACAATACAGTGGCACAACAACCAGATATTAAATGTTTCATCCTAGAATGTGCTAAATTTTTGATTCACATAGTCCAAAATTTGGGCTGATAGTGCAGGAAGTAAAGATTCAATGCTAGGCACTCTACAATACCACATCAGTAAGAGTATCTGCACTTCAAGCCAGTATTAAATGCTCCCACACGTCACTGTGCTCAGTGTCAAGCCCTAATGACAATAACTCCATCTCCATGGCAGGGAAGATGGAGCTGTGCATTCAATTAAACTGTCACTGTCTGTACTAGGAAATAAAATATTTGCTATTTATGTCTCGATTAGCGGAGTATGAACGACAGCTGCAGCAGTCCTTCAGGAAAAAAGACATCCCATTATTTGGGGATAATGGCAGAAAGCTGAAAAAATCTCTGCTGAGAATCTCGGTGGTCCCAAACCTGCAGTGAGCAGAGCTGCTCTCTGCAGTGATGAGGGTGAGCCACTAAATCCCAGCCACAGGGATCAGGGGAATGCCTGGGAAAATGAGCTTGTCATTATCCACCAGCCTTCCTTTTTCAGCCTTCGCGCTGAAGCAAAATGCTCCCCAAAACAACCATTCTTTGTTTTCTGCTGACATTCATTATCATCTGTGTAGTGTGTTTGTAAAAGGATCTTTTCCTTTTCCTGGTGCTTCCCTTCTGGAAGCAACAGCTACCCCAAAGGATCCAGGGCCTGTGAAAATAACCTGCACAGCTTTTGGTGTTCGGTATCTCAGAGCTGTCCCTGCCCGCTGCTGCAAGGAAAGCACGGCTCAGTTATGGCAGCACAGCTACAGAGAGCACCAGGCACTGCCCTCAGCATTGGCATCAGCTAATCCTGGAATCACAGGGTGGTTTGGGCTGGAAGGGACCTTAAAGACCATCTCATTCCCATCTAGTCCTGGGCAGGGACACCTCCCACTGTCCCAGGCTGCTCCAAGCCCCAGTGTCCAACCTGGCCTTGGGCACTGCCAGGGATCCAGGGGCAGCCACAGCTGCTCTGGGCACCCTGTGCCAGGGCCTGCCCACCCTCACAGGGAGCAATTTCTTCCCAATATCCCACCCCTCTGATCTGCACCATCACCTCCAGACTGCCACTGGGAAGTCAGCATCACCCTGACCCTGAGCTGCTGTCAGACAGATCACAGGTTACCTGGCAAAAGCACTGAAACCAGAACAAGAACACATGCTGTAGGATTACAGAATTATAACAAAATTCCAAAGTTATTCTGCTCAAAGGACACCCAGCAACATGTTACCCTACACCTAAAGTCAGAGCAACCAGAAGCTGCTAAACTTTCCCTAAGGAGGAAAAGCACTAGGGAAGGCAGAGGCCTAACTCAGACACTTATCCCACACACAATGTGAGATTCAGTAATTTTAAATTATAACTTCTACATAATTCTATGTGAGCAATATTAATATAATTCAAAAAAACCCATATGGGGTAGTATAGTATAGCATACAGCTATGTTATTATATAGAAATATGTTATATACAAAATAATAAATTAAATAAAAATTATAAATCAAAATAAAACCGCAGTAATTACTGTGCAGTAGGCTGGACCCTTACCTGGTGTCAGAGAACTCCAGGTTTGTGACATTTAAGACCCTTTTCCTGTTTGTGCTGTAGTAGTAATCCACAAATTCCTTGAGCTTCATCTTGCAATCTTTCTGCTTGGTGACATCAGTGACATCAACGCTGCGCTCCGGCCCTGCACACGAATTCAGCGGAGAGGACAGGTTGATGGACAGCCTGCCTTGCCCCCTTTTCTATGCTTGGGGGTGAGTTAACCTGTCCAGAAACACCTAAATCTTTTGATTTTCTGACTTTTTCAGCCCTTGGATCCTCCCTGTTGCTTATGTATGCAGCCACACAGACACACATGCACGAAAGACCTGCATATACATAAATACCCATCAAATGGTGCTTTTGTAGTCATGTCCCTGGGAAAACCATTCCTTGATACTACTTTGGCTGTAACTGCTTATGCAGAGCTGTGGAGAGCCGTGCAGGCTGGCTCAGCCTCACTGCCAAGCTGCCACACAAAACAAGAATGACTTAATTGCTAACTACAACCTCCCACTACATAAAACGCTGCACGGAGACCAGCACAGCTCATGGCACAGACAATATTTTAGAACGCATTTTACAGTTTTCCATGCAACTAATGATCTCTATAAAGCAGCTGAGCTCCAAGCACTGCAATGCCAGGTACCCACCAACGTAGTTCTCGACGTCGCTGACGTAGAAGGTGGGGGCAGGCACAGCCAGACCCAGCCCATCCTTCTTGGGGACCAGGATGGGCTCGGCAAAGCCCTTCTCTTCCAAATACTCTGCTGTCAGCTGGCTGCCTGGCACTTTCACCACTATGTCTTCAGCACTGCAAAAGCAAACACAGATTCAGTGGTGAGGAGCTCCACGCTGAGTTTGGAATGCTCTGTGTTTCACTGCTGAAAGGAAGACACCATGAAAAAGGAATTATAGGCAAATTAGGTACATAAGCCAAAACCGCATTTATTGCAAAGCACAAAGGGCACAAAAAAAATCATGCAATTGCTCGAGCCTCATGCTCCAACTACTGGGAAGTCCTAAAATAATGGCTTATAGCAAAAGATCATTCTCCTCAGCTGTAGGATCAGCCAAGCTACCAGTGATCAATGTTAAAGAATTAAGGTTAAATGTTTCACTCTAAAGAAGATAAGGTTAAAAACGTTACCCAGTCTCAAATAAATGGCCCTAGAAATGCTTTGCAAAACATTTTAAAGCAGTTGAATAATGTGCTCAGGAAGTATTCTGCAGATCATTTTGAAGTGGCAGGGACACCTTCCACTGTCCCAGGCTGCTCCAAGCCCTGTCCAGCCTGGCCTTGGACCCTGCCAGGGATCCAGGGGCAGCCACAGCTGCTCTGGGCACCCTGTGCCAGGGCCTGCCCACCCTCACAGAGAATAATCAATTTAACTGTTTTCACTGCTACTCTTGCTACTCCAGCATTATTTTGGTATTAAACATTTTAGAAAGAATGACATGAATAATATTTTTTGCCTTTTTGCTCCCATCAGTGTTCCTTTTGATCTGAGACCCTCCCAAGCACTCACTGGGGGTTGTTATTCCCTGCCTCGTGCCGGGAGTCACCAGTGATGCTCCTGGTCTGACCCCCCTGTCCCCTCCAGCAGCCCTTAGGTCTGAGTGATGGGGCCTGGCCTGTCCCATCTGCACATCCCATTCATTTGCTTTGGAGGAGAAAATTCCTCCACAAGACTTGGTGTCTGAGTCCTGAATCTTGCAGGCATTTTTGTGCTACAGACCCTCCTGTCTCAGGAGATTTCATCTGGCAGCAGGATTTTCTTATGCACACACTAATGAGTAACAAAGAGAAAAAATGGGGGGCTGTATTCTTTATAACAGTTTTGGAGTGACTCAGAGATACTGTATGTGTGACTGCAGTCTCAGAGGCCACCCGAGGTTACTGAAATCAATCTGCCTGGGCCATAAATCTTTCTTAAAATGAGCTGTGCAACCTGTCAGGTGCCCCTGCCCAGGGCAGGGGTGGCACTGGATGGGCTTTAAGGTCCCTTCCCACCAAAACTATTCTATGATTCCCTGATCCTTGCCTTCCCAAATCCCAGCATCTATGGCAATCCACAGGCACTGGGCTCAGCTGAGAGGAGATCTGAATACAGCTGCACAAATGTGAAAAACGGAAGAACCTGGGACATCTGCAACCAAACAGCACTGATTTAACCACCAATACTATGCAATGCTTCCAGCACAGCCCATTCCCAGCCTCAAGGACCCCAGCACTGCCCCTGTCCACACCAAACCCACCTGGGAAATGTCCGACTCCGCAGCTCCTTTATAAACACTTGGCTCCCGTTCTGCACAGGCTTCACCTCCGTTGTCTGGCCGGTATCATGCTTATGCCAATTCCTTTTCTTTTTCACTGAAAAAGAATGAATTGGACAGCTATGTTAAGATGAAGGTAATTATTAAGACATTGGCAGGAAGGATGAATCTTCATTTAATTTATCTCCCAAGCAGAGTGGAGGGAACCCCTGCCATGCTGCCCTGCAGATTTTAATATTGCTCTCAGTGCCCCATTAGACAATTGTGGTGCAGCTGAAGATCCATTACAGAGTGAGCAGTGAGCATTTTGGAGCAGAGGGCAGCAGTTGGGTAATTGCTGAGCTGCAGTGCCTGCAGCCTCACACAAGCACCGGCTCTGGACACTCTGGGCTCTCACACTGTCCCTCATCCTCACCAGGAAACTCCCTGGAAACCTCTTGGCACAACCTGCAGGACGGATCTGTGGGAGTGCATTCATCAGGAATTGCCTCAGAATAAAGCTCTGTCCAGTGGTGCTGCATTTGACACCAAGTTTGATGGGATTTTAGTGTGCCCTGCACAGAGAATGGACAGGGAAGGAAAAGGAGAAGGAGAAGGAGAAGGAGAAGGAGAAGGAGAAGGAGAAGGAGAAGGAAAAGGAATTAGTTGCTAGAAGTGCAGGGAAGGGAATTTATTATGGCTCAGAGCTGCAGCTGATTGAGGCCCCTTGACTGTGCTCCCAGTGAGGGATGGACACACAGGACAGTCCAGCAGGGATAAAGGGCCAGCAGGAATGAGCACACGTGAGCCAGTCAGGTTTCAGTGTGGTTTTTCCCTGCCTCTGACAGCCAGATAACACAGCAAGAAAAACTGGTCCTGCTTTTTCCCTGAGTCAGCACTATCCCTCTCGGCTGTTCCTGCTTCCACAGTGAGTGCAGAGGAACTCACGCTGGTAGGAAACTGGCTTTTTCCTCATTTGTGTCAGTTAAAGCCTCTGTTAATAGAATTTTCATATGTCACATACTTTCATTATCCACCCTTGTTTCACATCATGAAACTCAGTATTTCACCCCAAGTCCAGACCTCTTATCAAAACAGCGAGGGAAGGCAGCATACCCCTCACAGATGGCACCCACTCCTCGCTCTTTGCACACACACCGATCCATACACTTTTCCATTAGGAAAGGAATCTGCAGGCTAGAGATATAATACATGAGATTTGGAAAGAGCAAATTTTGCTTTCCCAACCACAGCCCTGGAATAACTTAAGGAAAGACATCTCCCAGTGAGTCCACCCCAGGTTTTGCACAAAGCATGTTTGGTTTATTAGTTCCATGCAGGCTCCAGCCTAGCTGGAGATATTCATTAAAGCTGCTAGTTCTTTATCTTAATGACTCTCAGGCTTAGTGTATTAATTCAATGCTCCTGGTAACAAAGGAAACAAGCCTGGCTTGAATGCCAAACCTTCCTCCTCTCCCTCCCTTCCCAACCTCCGCCTCCTCCGCCTCCTCCCCCCTCTCAGCCATCTGAATCCACACCACGAGTGTGCTGATTGCACTTGCACTCTGAGTGCAAGTCCCAGGGAAAGAGGTGTCACTTGCCACAGGAGAATTTAAGAGCTTAACCACATTCCTTTATTAACACTCCAGACAGCACAGAGCATAGGAAAATGAAGGCGACAGATCAGTGCTGAATTAACAAATCTACTGAAACTCTCCCAAAACCTCCAGGGAGCTCTTTGCCTCTGCACCAAGAGCTGGCAGGCGTCCCCCTTTCCCAGGAACCTTGCCATCCAGCTCTCCCCATCCAGCTCTGCCATCCAGCTCTGCCATCCAGCTCTGCCCATCCAGCTCTGCCATCCAGCTCTGCCATCCAGCTCTCCCAGCCAGCTCTGCCATCCAGCTCTGCCATCCAGCTCTCCCCATCCAGCTCTCCCCATCCAGCTCTGCCATCCAGCTCTGCCATCCAGCCCTCCTGCAGAGGCAGCCCCGATTCTCACCCCAGAGCATTCCCCAGGAGGAGCTGTCTCCTGGACACCAGCTGGAGTCCATTACCCTGCATCAAACACTTGACTCTTGGTCATTTCCAGCCACACTTTCTATATTTTATCTTTGCCATGAACACCACAGCAAGGACTAAAGGCTCATTCTCACAGCCAACAGATCCCAGCTTGGGCCAGAAAAGCTACTTTTTTGTAGTTTATCACAGATTTCTTTTTCTCCAGATCTAGCTGACCCAAATTTAACCTTGGAAGTCCAACATTGGAAAAAGGGAATAAATTTTTACAAAAGCTGTATGTCAAAATGAGTAATTCACATATATATATTATATTAATATATTAATATATGCAATTATATATAACACAATTACAATTAATATTAATTATATATTAATTCCTATTAATATATTAATATAATTACAATTTATATTACTATATTAATTATATATTAATATATATAGATACACATATATTATGTCAAACATATTTGGGTAGAAGGGATCATCAACTTGAATTCTCGGGAAGAAAGAAAGGGAGGTCAAGCATGGGATAGGGCTGCCCAGGGAGGGGTGGAGTCCCCATCCCTGGAAGTGCTCATGGAACTGCTGGACATGGCACTCAGTGCTCTGGTCTTAACAAGCTGGTGATCAGTCACAGATTGGACTAAGTGATCTTGGATTTTTTTCCAACCTAAATGACTGACTTTAAAGCCCATCTTGTTTCCCTAGAGCAGGGACAGCCAGGAGCACCCTGTGAGCTCTCTGCTGATCAACACCAATGTTTTAAGTACTTAAAGCCAAGCACAGCCTTTGGCTCACTTGCAGCTCTGTAACTCCACTGATTCCAAAGGATTTCTCCTGATTTTCACTGTGGCAAATGAGGCAGCAATCAAACCCAGCATTTCAGACTGTGTTATGAAAATGAGCCAAGCCTACCCAAATGAAGCCCTTACATTTTATTGAAATTATGTCACAAAATGTTGGATGAATATGGATGATTTTTCCCAAAGAGAAGTCCCTACACATTTCATTAAGCAGGAATGGCTTAAAATGCCATGTGACAGGAAGCAATCTTCTGAGAGCAGCCACTCACCACAGTGGTAATGTGGAAAAATGTAAGGAGAGGAAAATGATTTTTAAATTTGACATCTGGAAAACATATCTGGTAGAAGGCAAGCTCCAGAAATACATGTATATTTTTAAATCCAGACAAGTTGCATAACAGACAATTGGTGTCTGTGTTTCCCTTTGCTAATCTCACCATAATTAAATCCTACCAGTGAACTACTGGTGCTGGAACAACTCCTACTCCTTTATTACAGAGCTGATAGTGCTGGATAACGGGTCTGAACAGATTCTGGAGCAGTTAATAAGCAAAGGAAGCGATCTGCCAGCAGTGCCCAAGCCCTGCAGCAGGATATCCTCCATGCAAATTCCAGCAGATGGAATTCACCAGCCGAGCCACTCCCTCCTTCACTTCTTCCAGCTTTTAACTCCCCTGGCCTGGTGTACCCTGCAAGGATGGGCTAGAGTAGAACAGCCTCCTTTTTCCACAGAATCCACCACTCTACACATTAGCAGGGAAAATTACTATGCAGCTTGTGACCTTGTCACCAAAACTCAAGGTAAGGATAGCTATGATTTATATTTAAATAAAATTTTTGCACTTCACTTCTTTGATGATTGGTGTTGCATGTCATTAAACTGCCTATTCTGTATTCAAAGAGAGAAAAGGAAGTGCCCTGCCTGTCCTACAGAATGGATGTTGGCCTGTATTCCCACCATGCTGCATCCCCAGAGGAACAGGGTCAAGGGACACCTTCTGAGACCCCAGCTGCAGAGCTGCCCCAGATCTGTGCCGCAGCATCAGAAGGATGTGGGGCTGCTGGAGAGATCCAGAGGAGGCCCTGGAGCTGCTCCCAGGGCTGGAGCCCCTCTGCTCTGGATTCAGGCTGGGAGAGCTGGGGATGCTCACCTGGAGAGGAGAAGGCTCCAGAGAGAGCTCAGAGCCCCTGGCAGGGCCTGAAGGGGCTCCAGGAGAGCTGCAGAGGGACTGGGGACAAGGGACGGAGGGACAGGACACAGGGAATGGCTTCCCACTGCCAGAGGGCAGGGACGGATGGGAGTTTGGGAATTAGGAATTGTTCCCTGTGAGGGTGGGCAGGCCCTGGCACAGGGTGCCCAGAGCAGCTGTGGCTGCCCCTGGATCCCTGGAAGTGTCCAAGGTCAGGTTGGACAGGGCTTGGAGCAGCCTGGGACAGCGGAAGGTGTCCCTGCCATGGCAGGGGCTGGAACTTTCTGCTGGGCTGAATGCTCTGGGACACATCAGTGGATTTTTATTTGGATAAAAATAACTGGATAGACAGAAACCTTTTAAAAAGCATCAGAATGTTGTTGTCAATTCAACTCTCCTCATCATAACTGGTATATTAAACTTGCAATCTTTTTATCAAAACTGCCATGCCTTGAATTCCAGGATGACGCACCCCAGTTTTTATAGAACTGATATTCAATTCCTGATTACAGGCTTTTGCTCCTGACTGTGTTTTTTCCCTTGCCCTGAAAAGTAGGTGCCTTTCATAATTCATAATTTTTTTTTTAAAGTGAAAGAAATCAAAGTATCAGATCCATCTCAAAGTTATGCACTGACAGACTCAGAGGGTGGAGATCCTGTGCCGCTTCTTCCCTCCTGGGTTAGGAACAGTCTGGGAATGCCTGCAATCACCCCCCCTCCAATCCCAAATCATTAATTTCAAAATGATTTGTGGTTATTTGTGTAAGTAGGAAAACAAAACACTAGAAAGGCTGATCCTTTCAAACCACAACATTTTGTAGGGATATAATGATTTTGTTAAGTCTTTCAGAACCAGTCCCTCAGCGGGGATTTTGCCAGTTTCTCAGTTGGACCCTCTGGGAGACAGGAGCAGCTGCAGGTCATTCAGGTTTCCAGTTCACATTTGATTTTTAAAAAAACACAGTGGAAATACAATTCTATTTTTTGCCCACAAAACAAACACTCAGACTCCACCCCATTCCCACTAGAAAATTCTTAAACTTTAAAAATTAAGGCAATAATTGTTAAACAGAAATAATTGCTTGGGTTAAACATTCTGAATTTTAACACAACAGCAGTCACTTTCCAGTCATCCCTTATTTCACACTAAATAAAAGGTCATCAGGCTTCCCTCAGCTCCAGCAGATGAGCACGGTGCTCTTCCTCTGCAGGATGCCCTCAGGTTGCAGAGCAGCAGGATCCTCCCTGGCACTGTTGCTTATTTATAATAACTGGTTTTCAAGCAAAGCATTTAATCTTTCACAGGGATTGGTTTATTTTGTTCTTTTTTTCTGCATTGTATAATAGAAAGAATTTGTGAATTAATCTGACCAAAGCAAACACATCTCACGATTCCTTCCCAGACAAAACTCCCACTGAGATCAACTGTCACTTTTGCTCAGGAGAATCTTTTTCCTGTGAAAGAACTGCAAGAATTGGCACCCTCAGTGTATCCTCAATTTTGACTGACACTGAAATCACTGCAATTCTATATCCAAGCCAAGCACAACAAACTGCTTCTTACTCTTCTCATCTGCAGACAGAAAACTCCATGTAGGTTCCAAAACTCCCTCTATTAGCACTTAGCTGCCTCCATAGGGTTTTTCTAGCCCACATTACTGAGTATAGGCACAATTCAACCAAGGAAGGACACTCAGCTTTTTGTGGGGTTGAGGACTGAAGTTTTCCAGGTAAGTGCCTGCATGAGCTCACATACGTGCCTAAGGCTGCAGCAAAAGCTCCGTGATCCAAACATCTTTCTTCACCTTCTGGTTTGAATTCCAATATTTATGGCACATGATACTGAGGTGTGCCTTTTGTAATGACCAAAACAAAAAGCTCCTGTTGTTCAAACACCCTCCCCCTGCTTCGTGTCAGGGACTGGCTGCACAGGGGTACTTACAGGTTGACTTTCCGTGGGTTTTCTCACAATTTGGACAATGATAGATGTCAATATCTGGTGCCTCCTCTTCTTCCACACCAACACAGCTGGAACACAAGAAGGTAAATCTGACGTTAGCCCAACCATGCCCAAGCATACCATTAATGATGACGGCCCCATGCGCTTGCAGCTGCACTGAGCAGCAGCACCCTGCCCAAACCGGCTTTGGGGCCATGTGCGCTGGTTCAGACTGGCTTTTTGTCACCCACATTCCTGAGGGCTTGCTCCGAAAGCTGCCAGCCAGAAGCCCACCCAGCAGCCCATTGCAGAACTCCAAGAAAATGTGGCAGAGAGACCCACAGAATTTTGTTTTTTCCAAGGAGACTATTTTGCACCTACACAGAGTTCTCCCAGTACCATCCCACATAAACCCGATTAACAAAACACACCTTCGCAAAATATGTGTGGACAGCTGTGAAGTACCAGAGGGATCTTGGCAAGGGATACCATGTGCACAGCTTCCACAGGTCCCACCTCTGCTGCAGTGTAGGAAGATGAGGAGGTGAAGCAGACACCCAGCTCAGCGCTCCTGGCTGTGCCAGGATGCCACCGAGGTGGGTTTGGATGGGACACACCAGCAGCAACCCTGGGCACGCCCATGGACAATCCCGTGGGAGCACAGGCTGGGGGGCAGCCAAGTACACAGCTGAGCATTGAAGCACCCAAGACAAGAAGCTGCTGCACAGTCCAAGTGCCAAGCAGGCAGCCAAAGAACGCAGGTGCAGCGTGGCACTGCCCTGCCCACAGAGAAGGGCAAAGGGGACCCCGCTCCTGCCGCCTGTGTCAGGAGCAGCCCAGGCTGCAAGGAACTGCACAGGGAAAAGGGCTCAGCGGGGTGCTCTGGGATTCTCCCTGGTGCCTGGGCTCCATGGGAGCTTAGCTAGGCAAGATCACCCACCAGAGGCATCAGAGGCACCTTAAGCTGCAGCACAAGGAAGGCTGGATCGCACCGTGCCAGGAGCTCTCCTGGGCTTTCTCTACTTTATCTCCTGAAATGCCTCCCCAGTGCTCTGCAGGGAGCAGGGCACAGCTGCCAGTGCTCTGAATCAGCAGAGAGCACCTCTCAGTGCTCCTCAGCTTGCAGAGAACACCAACACTGCTTTTCTGCCAGGGAAGAGGTATGGGCAGGGGTCACACAGTGCTACCTCCATGCAAAAGGCCACATTCTGCATCCTGGCATTCCCCAGCAGGGCTGAGCACTGACAAGTGCAGGAGTTCAGAGTTTATGGCTCCTGTTTCTACCTGGAGGAAGCAGAGCAGAGGATGGCTGCTTCATCCCAAAGGCCAGGCAGCAGTGTGAGCCAGTTCCACCGAGCACTTCACAGAAACTCTCAGATCATTCTCGCTCTGTTCAAGCTCTGCAGGACACCAGTGTGTCCAAAAATCGGTTCAGCAACAGGAGAAATTCACACAGGGGGGACACACAGCAGCACCTGGTGCTGCTCCAGAAGCAGGAAGGCCATGATCTAGGCGCTGATAAAGGAGGATAACACACAATCCTGCGCCCACCCCTCCCACGAGAGCCCCGGGACACACTCCCTAAGGGCTCTGGGTGCCCTTGGCAGGGGATGCACGTGTCCAAGAACCCACAGAAGCACACCTGGGGCATGGAGCAGCTGTTAAAATGCACTGGGAGCCCCCACTGCCAGAGGTGGCTTTGAACCCCCTGCTGACCCCAAGGCCCACAGTGGTGCACATCACCACCACAAACCACAGGCATACCTGCTGCTGGAGAACAGCAGCAACACAACCGAGGCTGCAGCCATGATGAGAAAGGCCAAACTAGCTAAGATACAGCAACACATCCTTTTTATTACCATTGTAACTGTTGTGCCAAAATGAGATCCTGCCAGAAACCTCGGTAGGTATGGTGCCCCTGTTGCAACTGTTAATGTGGGAGCCAGCTCTCTTCAAAACAAAGAGCCCAGGGTGACAGGAGCTCTGTAACTAAAGCCAGAGACACTCTCATCTCTGCGAAGCCAGACTGGGAACAAAAATCATTATTTTGGAATTGTGTCAAAGCAACAGCAGATTTGGCTGATTTTTTTTCATTAAACAGTTACTTGAAAAAATACAAAATTGTCGTGTGTCCCTGGGAAGCCAGCACAGAAAACTGAAGTTTGCCGACAGGAAAAATCACCATCACAACTATCCAGTCATCAGAATCCTGTACATATATAGAGAAAAATATCAGATTGGTAGAAAATACCAGAAAAAAATAGTAGAAAAATACCAGATTAATCAGCAGAAAAATTAAACAAACCTTGGTAGATTAGAGCCAGTGTAAGAGAATGTAGAGGATTCCTCTACCCACAAAGCTGTGTCAGCTGCTTATGCCACAGGATTCAGCTGGCTAAGCTCAGTAAAGGTATGGATTAGGCTCTCTACAAGAGCTTGAAAACTCTATATTTAGCTAAAGTAAGGAGATGAGACCCTTGGCACGGGATGGGAGGAGGTCTGAGCAGCTGTGGCACAGGGCAATGGCTGCAGCACGGGGGGGGGCATTGTTCTGAGGGAGTCAAACATCTGAGGGAACAACACAGAGAAGTAAAAATAACTGACCTCAAACTCCAGCCGGCTCCTACAAGGCACAGTCAACTTTTCCAACAGTATGGCTTTGGAATAAAGTTTGGCCACTTACAGCTGCTCACAGGGATGCACCTGCTGTGCAGGGCATGGATGTGGGATGCTGGAGCAGCAGCCACCACCACCTCTCACAGCTCAAAAAAACCTTTCTCACCAAACACAGCAAAGATGGCCTAAGAGATTAATTGTCCTGCATCCAGGAATCTTATTGGAACAATTTCACCAACCTGATGGCTGATTTTTAAATGGTCGTTAAGTGATTTAACTCATGTTGAGGCAGCATAAAACTAATTTGATAATGAGATAAAAGGGAAATATTATTAAAAATGTATTTGAATTTCACCAAAACCGTTGTAGGGGAAAAAATAAAAATTACAAGTAAAGGCTTTGATATTGCAGCTGTTTAAGCTGATATCTCACCCACATTACATGGATTTAAAGGAGAATTAGCACATTAGAAGCTTTTGCAGTCAGAGGCTAGAAATTTCATTTTTATTAGAAACTCTGCCCTTTTCCACTTTAAAATGAAATTGCTTCTGTGTTTGCAGTGAAGAGATGTTCAAGTTTCAATAATCTGATAAAGCTAACAATGATTTTTCTGTTATGCAGGCAACACTAATAAAAGGTGAGTAAACTAAACTGGTTTTATAGCATGAAGGTTTCTGGCAACCTGGGGTTGTCATCTGCAGGGAGGTGACATTTTAAGTAGCTTCAGGAGAAAAATTAAACCACGTAGTATCTGTTCTATCAAAACCATGTCACCTCCATTATCAACCAAAAGACAATATAGAAAAATACGAAAAAATAAAATAAACAAGAAAAAGACTCTTAGATGGGGAAGAAAATCAAATCTAGGAAAACAGATATAGAGCCAAAGGAAAAAATAGGCTAACATCCCTTCCCTTCCCTTCCCTTCCCTTCCCTTCCCAGCACTGCTCCACCCCAGCTCATGAGGACAAATCACCAAAGCTCCACGGAGTGCAGAAGAACTCCCAGCATTTTGACAGGTCACAATTAGTGATCACCCTGAGCTCATCCCCATCCCTGAACAGCTGGTGCTCCTGCTGTGTCACCAGTCACATGCTCACAACAACGCTCTTCCTTAACAAGTGTAACTTCGCTTACTTCTGTAATTGCACAGAAGACAGACACCTGTCCAGTTCCAGGAGCCTCTACCACCTGGACAAAGCCATAGGTGCTGCAAAAAAGCAGCACTGCCCAGCAGTGGGGAGGCTCACACTTCATGTTTTGATGCCAGGCCAATGTTAAGTGTCCATCCCAGCATCCAGAAATGCAACGGCCAACACTGTGAGCACAAGAGAATTTAATGAAAGACAGAAAAGGGGAAAGAGGGAGGCCGTTTTGAGAGCAAGGAAATGTGCTGTTCCATGGGTTCATGTCTTCTGGGCTGTTTTCCTGGTGGCTTTACAGGGAGAACTCTAACCAGAGCTCTCTCCTGCGTGCTCTCCAGTGTCTCCAGAGCAAACAAACAGGCCTTTTCCTAAGCAGAAGGATTTGTCTCATCTAATCAGTCACATGTTCTCATGAAACAGAGATTTTGGAGAGCTGAAGCCTGCTGTCAGCTAGGGTTAAAGCAAAGCAGCGAGCTCAGGAGTCATCCAAGAGAACAGGGACACACGCTGGTGTCACTCCAGCAGGAGACCCAAGACCAAGGACAGCAGAAGGAACTCGTGTGCTGGTGTGGGCACAGGGGTGAGGGTGCCCTGCACGGATGTCTTTAATTAAGGCCTAAATGAGAGAGAACTCAAGCTGTACTGGACACACAGAATTCCACATCACCTCTCATTCGCTCACAGAAACACAAATGTGGAGAGAAAGGGATGGGGAAAGGGAAAAAGGAAAGGGAAAAGGGAAAAGGTCTCCTTGCAAACTGAATAGCATCTGCACAGTCCCTGCAAGGAGCCCAGCAGCTTCAGCAACACCTGAATGCAGGCACAGGGACAATCCTCACTGCTTATTAGATTGCTTGGACTGCTTTTCATCCCAGGAAATGAGCTCAGCTTTTTGACTCAGTTTCCCCCCTGCAGGCAGCAGCAGCACCAACACCTGCCCCAGGGCCTCAAGGTTGCTGATGCAGAATGGACAAACACTCATTCAGTGCCTTGAAAATGCCCAGCTCTGTGCAAGAGCTGGGCTGTGCTGCCCACACAGAGCTTTCAGAGACTTCATAAATCATGGAATATCCTCAGCTCAAAGGACCCATTAATTAGGGTTAATCATGTTCAAAGTTATATTTCGGATCTTGGTTTAATGCCTGCTGCCAATAAGTGGGAAACTGAAATCCAGAACTACTGGCAGGAGGGTTTTTTTCAGATTTTAAGTTAAAGACATCGCTCTAGTAGGATGAAAATTAATGTGAAAGTTAAATAAATAAAACCCAGTTTGCTATGTATTATTATCAGATTATCACAGCCTTCCTAAACAATTGCCATTTTGATAT